CTCTAAATGCGTATTCTGTCACGAAATGTGTGCTGACACACTGAAACTTAGAAAATGTAAAGTTTTTCATAAGCTGTCTGCTTCTGAATCCTTTTTCAATATGTATGCAAATTTCTGGTTAAAATTAGTCGGTCTGAATACAATTATAAATGAACTTGTTCTGAATGTGAGAATAATTTTCTTATGTGTTACGATTATACTGAAATATTTTGAACATGTTTAAAGTTTTAAATTTTAGAAGGAATAATTTTTTTCTCGTTTTATAGAAGTGAAAATGGTACTTCGAGGCCAGGCTACATCGAAAAGTTTCAATCCAAGCATTAGTAGTTGCAGTGAAGGAACTAATGATTTAGATGGAGGAAACGAAAGCGAAATTGATAGCGATGAAGACTTGGAGGCTGGCGAAAAATGGTTCATATTTGATTTAAGTAACAACTAATTTAGAGAATTAAAGGCATTAAAAAACTGTCTTTGATAAATGCAACTTTGAATTTAATAGTATTACAAATCTTTAATGAATACAAATCTAAAGTTGTCACAGTATTAAAAAAAAAAGTTCTTTTGAAGTATAGCTGAAAACTTTTTTATAATATGTTTGGCTTTGCATTCATGCGCTCAAAAATGATCAGTAAATTGAAATATTCTTTTCAATATGTTGTCATTGTAAATCAAAGTCTAAAATTTGCAAAAGTTATTACTGAAATGTGAAGTTTGAAGCAGATTAAAGCTCTCATCAATCGTTTTTTGTTTGTTCGCTGGTCAGTAGTACGAGCAGTAAGTATATTGTGAATTTGCTTTATTAGCTATTAGTCTAGGCTAACACTAATGAGCCTAGACCAGATGGATGGATGGATAGATAGATGGGTGGATGAATGGATGAATAGATGGATGAATGGATGGTTGGATGCCTTCGATATATGATGACTTGCTTCATTTGCAATTGCAGTTGCTCATACTTGCATAGATTTACTAAGGGTGAAAAATGTTTCAACGGAAACGCATTCATTCTATTCATCTTTTTCAAATGATAAGCAGAAAATTCAAGTTTCTCAATGTGAAATTAATCTGATATTACTGGTGACAGTTTTGTAAGACACTTTTCACAAATGAATTACTAATGAAATGAAAAAGCTGATCACATACTATTGCAAATTCTGTTCATTCACTTTTAGCAGAAGCATCTGAGGGAGTCAAAATTGTTTTAAAGTAACAACAAATATATTGCTAACAATTTTGCTACAAAAAGTTCACTTCATTCATTGCAATAAGTTTAGCTGAGGAATTCTTATGTGAGTAACAGTAAGCGTTCATACTTTAAACTTTCTATGTTCTCTTTCAGTTTTACGAAATTTACTTTACACAAAAAATATTTTTGCAAAAAAGTCTTAGGCCTTTTCATAGCAGCACAAAGCGTTATGTGCCTTATTTTTCTTCTCAAAATATGTAAAGTTAAGAATAATATTCATTGAAATATTAAGCTCTGATCTTTAAGTCTAATCCTAATTAGTCAGCATAATTGAATGACAATTGAATGTCAAATATGCTACTAGTCATGCTTTCATTTATGCCATTCGATTACTCATTTATATTGTAAAATTTAAATTTTTTCTCATAACTGAACGAAGCTAAATTCATTACAATACATATGCATTTCTATCACTGATTAGTCAGTGACTGCCTGAAATAGCTCTGTTAATTAGTGGAGTCTTTCTGTGCACATGTGCAGTTATTTGTAGGCTTAGTTATAGAAGGAAGAAGTTGTGAAGAAGAAGAAGAAAAATGCAAGCACACTCATTTTAAATGCCACATTTTTCCAATTTATGTCACTTTTTTTGTTCATTTCGAAAATTGCAAAATTAGTTTACATTTGTATCGCTTCAAATTGAATACTTCACTTTGACAGTTTTTGAACACTTTTGAACATTGGGCAGTTTCAATTTCAGTTTCAGTTTCAGTTTTAGTTTTAGTTTTAATTAGTTAGTTAGTTAGTTAGTTAGTTCTAGTCTTAACTTAAACCGCTTCTAGCATTGTTAGCTCTGACTTCCTGAGCGTTTTCGAGATTAGCGCAAAAAGATACGTTTTATCGGTATAAACGCTAGCTTGAATTTTGAAAAGAAACTATCAGCATAAAGCTGTTTATCGATACATTTTTTTGAATTAATTGTTTACTTTATTACTCATTTGTTTTGCTTGTGCCTTACTGAAGCATTCCAAATGATTTACTTCATTTGTGATTCATTTGATTCATTCGAATAATGCTGTCAAATGAAATATGCGATTAACTCACTTCTAAGTCTATAAAAATATAAATTAATTCAGTTAGAACGTTAACACCGCCTTTAATTAATCTCTTTGGAGCTTACAGAATATTTTCATATTCAGTCATTTAACAGTACTATCAAAAAATGAAACTTACTTAATTAGTTTGTTTGAATAAAAATTGAATTAGAAAAATTATGATAGCTTTTATTGTTGTGCTGCGCTATGCTAAATCTAAAATGCGAATAGAATTGTTTCCAACGAATTGCCATCATCAGAAGATTATTTGGATTTTATTTGCATTTTCATCGCTATTGCTGGCCTTTATGATTATTTCTGAGCATAATTAAAATTCGATTGGATTTACGAGTGATACCGACTGCTACTTATACCCACACAGTTTGAGTAATGACCTCAAGCCAAAAAGCCGACCAGATCTTACTAATTGCATATTTTATATATTTATATCTTTGTGGTGGTCAGTATGTCATTGAGTGCACTCAATTACAATAAAGAACTTCTTTACGGAAACTTGAATTTGCGATATCACTAAGGATATATCAGAACTAATATTTATCTTTGTCTATGATAAGATTAGTTTAAACAAACCAAGTTCAAATGTGCACTCCTCTCAATGCAGAGATCATAAATATTAATCGAAAAATACGTCATTGCTTTCTAGAGAATCTTAATAAAATCTAACTAATTTGTATTTATTAAATAGAATCTATTTGGAGTTTGAGAAGTCAATTATTTTATGCTTTTACCGATGATCAGCTGCTTCAAGAACGCAGTCTTAACAAGACTGAATTTTCGTCTATTATTTTGGTATTCTTTCGAACTTCACATCATATCATAACTTCCTTAAATTTAGCAGTGATATATTACTATTACTTGAGGATTTCAGAGAAGATATTAACTGCCACTCATTTGTTCAAAAAAATCAGTCAATCTGAGTTTGGAATTTTAGAAGGTAAGGGTAAGGGGTCAGTGATGTTGGTAGTAAGCAAACCTATGCTTCATTCTGTGTGAAGGCAATGTGCATCTGATTTTAACGCTTCACTTCATTTCTTATATTTGCATATGCTTTCTGTTATTGTAATCCAAGTCATTATTGTTCTCTTTGGCTTTTTCATCTAGTTACCTCCAATTATCGCAAATTCAATGCTAACAGTTTATGTAGAAAATTACACGTATTACTTACTACAAATTTATTGTATTACTGCGTAGATTATTTAATAATTTTGTAATTTTATAGTCAAAAGTTAAGTTAATTTTGATTTGATCAAATTCCAGCAGAAAAAAAAACCATGCAGATAGTTTAATTCATCAAGTCTAATCTGATTAACTGATAAATTGATAAATACAGTCTGCAATAAATATCAGCTACAGTAATATGCTAAACGTAGAAATTCATTAGCAAGCTTAAACTAACGGCGAAAAGTGCTCAGCTCACTGCTAATTATTTGTTGAAATTATTTAACAACACGAAACAATAACAGTAGTACAACAACGATGAGAGACGAATGTTACTGAGTGTTGAATAAATTCTCAAAGGAATTTTCAACTTAAAAGAGCAATTTCAGTCAGAGATTGAGTGGGACAATTTACACTTACTTGTCACTGCCAAAATTTCAAGCACAGAAATATTAAAAACTGCAAAAGTTAGAACTTGTAGAGGTTATTTCTGAAATACATCCAGTGTACTCTTTGCTCCTTATTTTTTTTTCATAATTTTCTGTGCTCTTTTGCATCACTTTTACTGCTAAAATTTTTTACGTAATTTGACGTTAAATGCTAACTGCGTACGTACTTTTGACGTCAAGGTCTTGCATAGTTCCATTATTTGTTCTCTACTTACATAAAATGAAATTTGGATTAGTTTGAAATCCATAGTTAAAGATTTTAATTATCATTTATTAAATACTAAATTAAGTTTAGCCAGGATAATTAGTATTTAGTTCGTTCTTTTTAAGAGAGAAATTCACTTTTGTCAAAAAGAATTAATACTCATTCAATCAGTTACAATAATTTAATTTTTTCAAAAATATTTCAAAATTTTATTAATTTCTCAAAAATACAAAAAGTGTTTTATATTTTTGAAGAATTAGTTAGGTTCTGAATGCTTTCAAAGATTGAAATTGTTGCTGATCAGTGCTGCTTTTAATCTTTTTTTCAATAATGTGCGTATTTTGTGCTCTAAAATTCACTGAAAATTAGCATTAATGTTTGAATTTAATTGATGGCAACGGAGAATGTTACTGATTCAAAAATTAACTGCTAAGAAGAGAGACAGAGATAGGTCATCTGAAATGACAATAAAATAAAACTAATCTTCTATCATTGTGCTTCAATTTAAGTTATCATCAAAAATGTCATTTTAAGTAATCTATTATCATTTTATAAGTATACAATTAACGCATTCATCACCTGAAACGGGCTATTACTTTGGCTGAAAGTGCAGTTTACAAGTATGTATGACAAACAATGTTGCAAGAATGTTGCTTAGCTTTCAGTTCAGTATTTATTAGAGACAAACTTTTTCCTCAGCTCGAGAAAGGAATCATTTTTATATGCTAAGTAATTTAACGGAATCAAATCTTACTATTACTTTCAACAGCAAATTATCACTAATATTTCCATTTTAAGTATGCAAAAGATTTGTGCTAGCAGACACTTTTAGCATTAAGCGCAACACTAATTTGAAATCAGACCGAAAATGGAAACTAATTTGAATTAATACTCATTCAATTAAAAAGAAATTGTATTGTATAACAGTAAAAATTTGAAAACGATAAGTAAATGCTATTAAGTCATATATATCAGTTTTATTTTGAACGGAAACAATTCAGTCAACCAGTGGAGAGGCTGAGAAGGTCTGCTGGACTTTTATAGAGTTAATTAATTGTAAATAACGCAGTGACCAGTTGATGTAAGAAAGTTCTGAAGTGGAAGGGTAGCGAGACTAAATCAGAGCAGATCGAATTTCACGTCCTCACATTGTTTCACTCATCAAATTGCTATGACCGTTGCGCCTAAATAATTATTGTCTGCTCACTATTAGCAATTGCTTATTAAATATTAGGAAAAAAGAAGTAAGGTGAGATTATTGTTAGCGAAACTTACTTTACTTTCACTTCTTGTGTACTCTTACTTTGTTCCGTTGTAGTACTGATAGGAAGCTAAAATATTAAAACTACCATCAAATTATAATACAACTCTGCCATTAGTAAAAGTGGTGCTAAACAGTATTTAAATTGCTATTTTTGAACTTAATCTTAATGCTTCTTTATTTTCAAAAATTGAACTTTACTGAAGCATATATTAAATGCGTGTTCACCAAAACAAATGCTTTATTTCTGTTTGCACAGTTATTTCTAATTCTTTTCATAGAGGACTCGAGTTTATTTATGTCATATAATAGCTGTAAATATGAAGATTGTAACGGAAGTCTACGTGTAATTCACAAATATGCAAAATTATTTAGTTTGATTTTGAATAGTTTCATATTAATTTGATCATATTAGCATGCATATTTATCTACTTGTTTATTTTTTTACTTATTTATTCATGCATGTATCCATTCATTCATTAGTAGCAATTATCTCAATAAATTTTACAATTTACGAATTTCGCACAATGACATAAATCAAGCGTAAGGT